AGATGACGAATCTATGAAGAATTAATAAAGCAAAAAAAAATTAATAAAGCAAAGTGAGATATTTTAATGTATATTAAGGTATGCCCACCATCACCTTCATCTTTGAGATTAAGCTCTAAAATATCTGTTGTCCAGACATGGTAGTGCACGTCCTATAATTTCAGCACTCAGGAGGGTGAGGCAGGAGGAATGCTGCAAATGTGAGGCCTGGGCTGGGGATTTAGCTCAGCGGCATAAGCACCTGCCTTGCAAGCAGGCAGTCGTGAGTTCGGTCCCCGGTACCGATAAAAACGAAAAAAGACAAAAAAAAAAAAAAAAAAAATGTGAGGCCTGCCTGGACTACATAATGATTTTAAGCCAGCCTGAAATACCTAGTGAGACCTGTCAAAAAATAAAAATAAAATATATCTCTTGACACCAATGTCACATAGACTACTACACAGAAATAGTTATAGGTCTGTTTCAGGAAGGCAACTCTTAGTGGAATGAACACAGGATCAAAAGACTAGGCCCCCGGCTCTGACATGCTCATCTGCTAAACCCAACTAGTATTCTCATTTATTCTACCTAACTACAGGACACTTCAAACTCAGTTGACCAAAGCTGAACTCATTATCTTTGTTCAAATATTTTCTCCACCACATTCCTTTCCCTACTTAATAGCAACATTGTCTATTTAGCCACTCAAGCAAAAACTAGAAAACTCCTCCTACAACTAGAGTTAAGGTTCTAGAAGTCAAGGCCTGAGCTGTTTTTTTTTCAATTCTGTAATTTCACACTTAATATATTACCTAGCACATAGCACATTCTCAGCAAGTATCAATTATGAGGCACTCAGATTCCCAGTATGTTCTTTTGATATCCTTAGAAGGTTCATCTTGGATTATTATGGAGATCAGCTGTGTAACAGCACTATCTTTTCACACAGAAAAAATGTCTATGTTCCAAATTTAAAGATGCCAAGAAAGAAGTCACACCGGGCCTAGGAGGAATAACAATGAAGCCAATTCACTCTTCTTATGAGCCAGTTGGCATGCAGGCTGGGAGATACCAATACCCTTTCCCTCCCAGTAAGCAACCAGCTGACTCAGAGCACAGGCTGTTAATAGCATCTCAGGTACCAAAACAACTTAATGCTTCTACTGTTTCACTGACTGTTTGCAGGCCTAAGGCAGTGGTCTGAGACTTTATTAACAGGATAACAATATTACTATAGCAATATAGGGGATTTCCATCTTGTTTTTGAAATCCAATATTCTGTTTTATTTTATTCTATTTTATTGTTTCATTATATTCAGTGTTCTGTTTTGACTGGTTTCATTTTGTTTTGTTTTGTTTGATTTTACTATGTCTGATGGTATGTGCAGCAACTTTGAAGATAACAAAGAGATAGTCATAGTTGATTTCCTATTATCCTGTTTTGAAATCTTGTATCCCTTTCACTATTTTGTTTTGATTGGCATTACTGTTCTTTTTTGTTTTTTAATTGTATTTAAGGAGAAAAAGAAAAAAAAAACAGAAAAAGGGTACAAGTTATACAGAATTTCAGAAAGCATAAACAGTAGGAAATCACTAGTTAATAGATTACATATTGTTATCTTAGAAATAGTTGTTCAAGTTACAAAATTAAAGCATACAAAGTGGATTTTCAAACAGTGAGATTGCAAACAGTTTTGTTCAATGATCCAACAAAACTCAGTAATATGGTTATCTATCTTATACACTTAAATATATATGCAGTTATATCCTTTAGAGCACTTTCTTGTCCTTTCTTTTGTAATTACACATTTTGGATTTTATTATTCCCACAGTTCTTATTACTTTTTTTGAAGAGAGTAAAACCAAATGTGACATAACAGAACAGAGTCAGTCAAATCAAAAGGATGGACATAATAGATAATGTAAAAACAAAATACAAGGTGATCAACAATGATTATCATACTGCCTCTTGCTATCTTAAGAAGAATTGTCTATATCATCAGTTATAATAAAATTGAACAAAACAGTAAAGAATAAAACCAAAACATTGGAGACATTACAGGACTTTAAAAGAAGATAATAGTCAACCAGAATGGGCGTCATAATGAATCTTATTGTCTTCACAGTTGTTGCCTATACTTTCGAACTTGGTACTATCAAGCCAAGCAGAATAGGGGAAAATCAGTCAAAACAAGATGGTGAGAGCAATACAGGGGTTCAAATCAAGTTAACAGGAAATCAAAGTGGGTTACTATAATGTATCCTGCTATTTTTATTTTTCCCTTAATTAAAAAAATAAGAATAAAAAAGTAAATAATTAAAAAAAGGAGATTGAGATAAAAGAGGGTATAACAACAAAACAGCGCAGGTCAAAACATAACCATTTAAGCAAAATAGTGTTTCACCACAAGATATCCTGACATAAAAGTAGTTACCATAGTGTCTCTTTCCTTGAAATCTTTGAGTATAACTTTGTATACTGTAGCACCAAACATATCCAGACAATGTAAAACCATTCAAGAGAATGACATTATTACAGGGTATTTAGAACCAACTAACAGAAAATGAACAATGGTTTCTGTATAATCTCCCTGTCCATAAAAGTTCTTGCTTATATTATCACACATAATAAAATCCAATAAGATACAATCTGTCAAGACCAATGAAGACAGAAGAATAAAAGCTTGATGGGACTTCAAAACAAGATGATACTAAATCAGCACTAGCCATTATAATGTCTTGTTTTCTCCAAAATGGCTGTTCCTACCATCCAATCTTCTCTGCCTCATTTCTGTTGAGATCTTTTTCTGTCATTTGTTGTCAGTTTGTCTTCTTCATTTTGCTTTCTGCTCCATTTATTGTGGCCTCTCTGCCAGTTTCTAGAATCTTGGTATTTTTCTCTTTTAGAATGCCCTGCAGTATTCTCTGTAGAGTTGAATTGGTGGTTGCAAATTCCCCTAGTTCCTCTTTATCCTGGAAGCACCTTGTTTTTCCATCAATTTCTAGGGACAGTTGTGCAGGATATATCAGTCTTGGAGGTTATATATTATCTTTCAAAGCTTGAATTATTTCTCCCCACGCTCTTCGTGATTTGATGGTTTGTGCCGAGAAGTCTACTGTAATTCTGATGGGTGTTCCCTTGTAAGTGATCTGTTTCTTGTCTCTGACGGCTTTTAATATTCTGTTCTTATATTGGATTTCTGCAACTTTGATTATTATATGCCTGGGTGTAGCTCTGTTTGGGTTGTAGGTGGCTGGGGTCCTGTATGCCTCATACATCTGAGTATCTTTACCTTTTCCTAAATTAGGGGAATTCTCTTGGATTATTTCTGTGAATAGCTGTTGTAGTCCATTTGTTTGTGTCCCTACTTCTTCTTTTATGTTCTTAATTCTGAAGTTATAGATCCTTTTATCATCTTCTAGCCTTTGCATTATTGCTGTTTTCTTGTTATTTTTAAGAAGTTTTTCATTTCATGCTCCCACATTACAAATCTGCCCTCCAGTTCAGACAATCTATCCTTAGTTTATTTCAAGCTATTATGCTAGCTTTCAATAGAGTTTTTAGTTTCCTGGTAATCTCTTTGAATCTGCTTCATGTATTCTATGTTTTCTCTATTTTCTCCATCAAATAATTCTCCCCTTTTTTCTGTTCTTCCATTTAACCATCTGTTTTTTCTTGGGCGGTGCTTAGCATTTCTCTAACTATTCTACTTATATCTTGCTTTATTTCGTTAAATACTTCTCTTTTGAACTCATCTATGAAGCTCCAGAGATATCGTTTTATGTCTAGTGGTACCGTGTCTGATATTACATGTTTTTCTTTCCTCATTCTCCTTTGCATTTACCTTTCCTAGATCAGTGTTCTCAGGATTGGGGATTGAGGACCCTTTCTTGTTGCTCCCTCTTCCCATACTTTTTGTTCCTTCCATACAAGCGAATATAGGAGGCCCAATTTTTTTCTCTTTGTCTGTTACAGTTTGTTTGAAATGCATGGGCTAGATGTTCCCACCCACTGCAGTATACTAGGGAGACACAGACCTGGGCAGCCTCTGCTGGGCCTGCCCCTCCAGGTCAACCTACCAAAGGCTTCACTGCTAGCGTGCACCACCAGGTGCTGGGACTGGTTTGGGCTAGCCTACTGGGTCTTAGTCAGCGGTGTACCCAGGCCAGGTACTCCCCACCAATCCCGCTTGAGAGGGGAATATGCGACTAAAGTTATTGCAATGTCCTGTTCCAGCAAGTCTGCCCGGTCCCAGTATGTCCTTTGCTGAAGCCTCCTACTCTATGGAAGGGTCCCCGGTCCGCTCACTCACCGCAGGTTGATGCAGGGCTCCCTGCCAGTCCTGTTCTCAACTCTGTTCGCTGATTCCCACTCTCAGAGTTTTCACGCGTCTTTCTCCCTGCCGTGCTGATTTGGACACAGCAGTGGCAACAGGAAATTCAAATCGTGGCTTCCAGTGGCACAGGATCCAGCTTCCACGCTGAGATTTTATCTGTTCCTGTTATAGCACTGGGATTGCGTTTCCAGTTGGTTTCTCTTAGCTTAGTTCGTTTCTGGGTCGGCAGAGTATAGCTCCCCTTGCTTAGGACTCCTCACACCGCCCCATTCCTGGATTCTAAGCGGCCAGAGAGCCTCCATAGCTGCTGCTATCTATTCACCATGTTCTCGGCTTTATTGTTTTCTTTGTTTGATTTTATTATCTTTAAAATACACTTTCATTCTTGTGTGTGACTGGTTTTATTCTGCTTAGTTTTGTTTGATTCTATTATGACTAATGATATGGATAGCTATTTTGAAGAAAATAAAGAGACATTATGGTAGCCACTGTTGATTTCCTATTTCTGTTCTGTTCTGATTAGCTTTATTCTGTTTTGCTTTGTTTGATTTTACTCTCTTTAAAATAAATAAATAAATACGTCATTTTTCTCTCATTCATCCTGTTTACTTTCATAATGCTGACAAATCACTGGGATCAAACATCCTAAAAGTTTTATGGGTGCATCTCATTGTCATAGCTCACCTTCAAATCCAACACGCTCAAGCAGGTTCAGTGGGTACCAAATTAAAGGCTTGTTCCCAACTGGAAGCAAAGGTTTGGGAATGCTGGAAGTCAGGTCTGTCATCCGAGATCCCCCACCAACTGCCATCACTACTGCTTGAAATTCCATTTTTATAAACTGCAAGTACAGAAAAAGACAATGGAAAAAAAGATATAACAATAATCAAAAGACACAGTACTAACTCATTTTTATTTACATTACTAAGAACTCATTTATATCAGATGTATCATTTTCAACTTTAGTTACTAAAATAAGAAAAACTCCTTTGCAGGAATATATATATACATATATATATATATTGCAGTATACATATATCTTTACCACACTCTCACCAACATAAACTCTCAGATTCATCCTTGGTAAAGAGGGGGAGAGGTAAATAAGTGAAAAAAACCCTAGCTCCTGCTTTGAGTTGTTCGCTATTAAGAGGAGACATATTTAATAAATTACAACATACCATCATTAGTGCCATGTCAGGGGTATATCCAAGATACAATGGGTATAGTGCATAGGAAATATCTAAGTCTTACTAGGAAACAGAACAGTTTTATAGGAAGGTAAAGCTCAAATTCATTGTGAAGAAGTAAAGAGTTTACCAAGAAGATTTCTAGTATGTAAATTTTTATTCCTTAAAAACACTTTTAAAAAACTCACTAATAACAAAAACAAGCGTGTTAGGCCTCTGAAAAGTATAAAATTGACTTAAGATTCCTCCAATGATTCAGTCGTCTACTCTAGTCTTCTCATTATCCCTAATAGTGAAAGATACCACTATAAACACAAATGTAATCTAAACCTAGGATCTGAAGAACCCAATTAGACAAACATTCCAAATTGTTAATTCCTTTTTTCAAACTCAGGTAATAAAAGAACCTATTTGACCTTGAAAAGAATCTCTTTATAGCAGCTTTATAAGCACAGAATGGAGGCACACTGAAAGGTTATAAATTCTTACTAATTTAAACTGAAAGTTTTCTTTGATTACAACAAATGATGGAATCATTTTAATACATTTTTCAGAGAAAATGATTCAGAGAAAATCTAATACCATATTGGTGTTATGGGCAAATACTGCTGCACCTTTACCATAATAATAATTGGTCCGGGTCATCACACATCAGTATCTAAACTACAGCACTCGGCCAGGTGTGGAGGCACATGTCTGTAATCTCAACATTCTAGAGCCGAGGCAAAAGGACCCTGAGTTTAAGCTCAGCCTAGACAGTATAGGTAATTCAAAGCCAGGCCAAGACTACTTAACAAGATACTGTCTCAAAACCCCCCAAAAAACAAGCTGGACACGATGGTGCATGCCTGTAATTCTAGCACTTGCAAGGCTGAGGCAGGAGGATCACTCTGACTTTGAGGCTAATGTGGGCTACACAGTGAGTTCAAGGCCAGCCTGAACTACATGGTGAGACCCTGCTCAAAACAAACAAACAAACACCCAGTATACCCAAGGTACAAAGTGAAAGTTCTTGAACAACTTTCAAAATTTAAGGATATGGTCATTTCAATTTCAGCAGATACTGCCTCAGAATGGAATTTAATCTTCACTTTGGCATTAACTCCCATAACATTTGATGTCATTATGAAAAGAGCAGTGGACTCTTAAAGAGTCAAAAGATTTGAGTCTGAGTTCTGGTTTGGCCCCTTACAAGTGTTTTTACCTGGAGCCTGATATTTAAAACAGCATTCTCAGTTTTTAGAAAGGCAGGCTGGTGGTTAAACTCACAGATCAGAAGCAAGGTTGCCTGGGCATAAATTCTAACTCTACCATTTATTAGCTATGTGAACTAGGGCAAGCTACATAACTTTTTATGCCTTGGCTTTTTTCATTTTATAAGAGGAATAATTATGGCTTCTATTTCATTGAGCTGTAATATTAAATGAGGACTGGTGGTGTAGGTCAGTTGTAGTGCACTTGCCTAGCATATGCAGACATGTACACGCACGTGTGCACATGCACACACACACACACACACACACACATACACACAGTTATTCTACATAAAGCCCACAAATAATATTCATTCCCCTCATATGCACTGTATGACTATTTGATATTATTAGATATAAGCTAGATCATGGAATGCCTTCTACACCAATGGAACCATCGTGTTTCAGAATTCTGATCACAGCACTTTTTTTTTTTTTTAAACGTAGAGTCTTGAAGCTGAGTGCACAGTAGTGCACACTTGTAATTCCAGTATCTGGGAGGATGAGCTGGGGACTGCAAGTTCAAGGCCAGCCTGAGCTACACAGTGAGCTTATGGCCAGTATGTACTATACCAAAAGACCTAGTCTTAAAAAAACAAAGGTCTGGGAGTTTAGCTGAGCAGCATAAGTGCCTTTCTGGTAAGCCTGAAGTCATGAGTTCAATCCCCAGTAACAAAAAAAAAAAAAAAAAAAAAAATAGGGAGAGAGAATGAGTCTCACTGAGTTGCCCTGGCTGAAGTACAGCCAGTATTCCATTGATTGGCACATGCTGCCAGGTCGGACCTTGCTCCCTTAAAGCACCGCATTCAAGCCAAACTCAGGACAGACAGCCTCTGGGCATAGCATACTACAATCTCAAACTCTTGGGCTCTAGTGGTCCTGCTGCCTCAGCATCTGAAGTAGCTGAAGAAGAAGTATATGTGCACACCACTATGCCCTAAATTGCCTCTCTCTGTGCCCAGTACAATTATTAAACTTTAAGACTCAGTGCAAGAATCATCTTGCCACTTTGCATGGTGAATCATGCTTATAATCCCAGCACTTGGGAGGCTTGAGGCAGAAGGATTACTGTGAGTTTGAGACCAGACTGGGCTACAAAGTCCGTTCAAGGCCAGCCTGAATTGCACAATGAAACCCTGTCTCAAAAAAGAAAGGACAATCATCATGACCCATTCCTGATGAGCACTCTGTAATACTGGAGCAGGAGCATCACAAGTTCAAGTCCAGCTTAAACAATTTACAACTCAGCAAAATCCTGTCTCAAAATACTACGTGGGGGTATGTAAAATTCCAAAAGGATTGGGGATGTAGCTTGTGTGAAGGTCCTGGGTTCAATCAATGCCTCAGTACCAGTCTCCTCCCAAATAATCTTGCCTAGGAAACTGTTCCTAGCCCTTCGTACATTTCTGCAGAACAGATTCGGTTTTTCCTATGTGCTTTCACTCTGCCATGTACATATTATCTCAGCCTTTACAGGCTTCCTTGCACATGTATGTTTAAATGTCTAAGTGTGACATTCAATGCCTCCCAAAGGCAGGTACTATATGTTGTCATCATTGTATTCCTAGTCAGATGTGATGTCTTCAGTGTTTCTGGAATGAAGATCCCAATAGCCCGTAAAAGGCATTAGAACCTAGGTCGCTGGGGTCTGAGATCCCTGCTCTCAATGAGTCTCTAGGTGAAGAAGACAACCTAGGAAGCAAGAATTGTTATGAACATAACACAGGAAAACTGTCAAACGTGTCAGTGTCAACGCCACGCCATGATTCTGGGTGGTGGAAATCAAAGCAATGAGTGCTGCTAGGCTCCAGAGCTTCACAAGGTGCTCTTGGTTCTCATTCGTGCCTCGCCACACTCAGGGCCTTCTCCAATTGTAAATAAGTAAGTCTGACCACGGCATGGCAACTGGTCTGACACCACACTGAGTGCTGCCTGAGAGAAGGGTCTTAACTGCGTTGCTCCTTGTTATTGCACTGCTCTGCACCCAAACAACTAGCAGTGGATTTGACAAATGAGTGAAGAGCTAAAGGATGGGAACCGTACAAGCATTGTGCTAAGAGCGTCTGGTGCCAGGTCTGGCGTTCACTGGCTGTGACTTCGAGAGGAACTCTCCCTCCCCGAAACTCAAGTTTCTCCACCTGCTGCACAGGTTAGTGGGATCGACGCTCCCAACCTTCCTTCTAATTCAGACACTTAGGCTTCCACTACTGGGTTGCGCAGGGATTCGAGTTGGAGACTTTGGGATTCAGCATCCCCGCCTACTCTTCAGGGTCCACCTGGTTCCAATTCCGCGAGCGTGCCTCCCTCAGAAGTGGAGGGGTCACCAGCTCCCACCGCGGGGCTCACCTGGATCAGCCAGTTAGCTCGCGGCCTGGCAGACCAAAGCCACAGCCTTACCTCAGCTCCCGGCTGGTAGCCACGCTCCCAGCGATCTCCACGCCGCTGCCGACTGACAATCTAAAGGCGCAGGCGCGAGATGGCCGAGCAGATCGATTGGGATGTCCCAGGCAGACCCGCTGAGAAGGGACGAGTACCGAGTGACGGATGACGGAGAAAAAGCCCAGGGGTGCCTGCTGGATGGGTAACTGAGGAGAAGGCTGCTGAGGAACCCGCCAATCTCCTGTTGGTACTAGGACTTGGAGTTTTGCTAGCTCTGATCCTTGGTTCATTCACAAATCACCAAAGCTTATTGAGTGTCTCTTCCAGTGCCGGTTGCCAAAAATACAGAAGGAACAACTCACAGCCTCTTTTCTCAGGGAGTTTCCGTTCCAGGACCTGGCCTCAACTGTCACTCTGAAAATAAGTGTATGGCCAGTATTGGTTACCTAGTAAGGTGGGGAAAAATTAGACAGATCCTCACGAAAGAAGTGAAAGACCTATGCAGAGAAAATTATAATACACTGAAAAAAGAAATTGAAGATAATCTCAGAAAATGGAAAGATCCCTTGCTCATGGAAAGAAAGAATAAAAACTGTGAAAATGGCCATTCTCCCAAAACTGTTATCGCAGGATATATTATAGTAACTTTTTTGTTTTCCTATTAATTTGATTTGAACCCCTGTGCTGCTCTCACCATCTTGTTTTGACTGATTTTACTCTATTCTGTTTTGTTTGATAGTATCGTTTAAGGGTATAGGCAACTACTTTGAAGGCAGTAAGATTCACTATGATGTCCATTCTGGTTTGAGTATTATCTTCTTTTGAAGTCCTGTAAGGTCTCCAATGTTTAGGTTTTATTGGTTTTGTTTTGTACTGTTTTGTTCAATTTTATTATATCTAAAGATATAGGCAACTCTTTTTAAGATAGCAAGAGGCATTATGGTAACCATTGATCACCTGGTATTCTGTTTTTACATCATGTACTATATCCATGCTTGTGTTCTAACTGACTATTTTGTTTTGTCACATTTGGTTTTATTCTTTTCAAAAAAAAGTAATAAGAACTGTGGGAGTAATAAAACCCAAAATGTGTAATTGTTATTGTAAAAAAGAGAGGAAAAGAAAGTGCTCTAAAGGATATAACTGCATGTATATTTAAGTGTGTAAGATAGAAAACCATATTACTAAGTTTTTGTTGGATCATTGAACAGAACTGTTTTCAATCTTACTGTCTGAACGTCCACTTTGTATGCTTTAATTTTGTAATTTGAACAACTATTTCTAAGATGACAACATGTAATCTATTAACTAGTGATTTCTTACTGTTTATTTTTTTTTGAAATTCTGTATTACTTGTACCCTTTTACTGTTTTGTGTTTTTACCTTTAAATAAAAAAAATTACACAGATCCCTTGCAGACCAGGAATTGGCAGGGCTTCCTATGTATAGGACATGAAACATGGTCACTCATGCCAACTTTTGCCATCCAAACAGTAAAAAGAGGATGAGTAAGAGTCTCACAGAGCAGATGACACTGAACAGTGTTTTCATGACAAGATTTCACTAAGCTGACCAGGCTGACCTGAAACTCACGGGCCTCCTATCTCAGTCTTTTAGTGCTGGAATTACAGGTGTGTACCTCTATGACAGGCTGCTAGCAAATGATTTCAAGAGAGCCTTGTGGATCTTGAGTAAGACTTCAAAATAAATGATCCAGCAAATGCGAAGGCCCTGAAAAAGACTGCATGTTCAAAACAACAACAATAAAACAAAAACCAATGAGGCCAATGAGACCGAAGTGAAGCTGTGGGGCAGTTGAATAGTGGCAGAGGTCAGAAAGGCAATGTCTTATGTGGCTTGTAAGTTGTTGCAAGAACTCTGAAGTTTGCTGTGAAAGAGTTTTAAAAAAACAACCAGAAATTGTTGAGCAAAGGAACATGATATGACATGGTTTTAAAAGATCACTCTGGGGGCTATGTTGACAACTCATTAAAAACAGATAAGGTCCCCTTCTGTCTCTCTCAGACAGAAGCTTTCTTTCAATAAATATATTTTGCTCTTAAAAAAACATAAGGAGAGCAACTGAAGAGGCTGCAAACACCTAAGTCTAGACAAATTTCACTACTGTGAGCTATAATAGAGAAAAACCAAAAAAGCAAAAAGACATCAAAAATGAAATTATAATTGAGAGATAATAATTGTTCTAAGTTTTAAGATTTGGGGTGATTTGTTAAGCTGCAGTAGATTCCTACAATTTCCTTTTTTTTTTTTTTTTGAGACAGGGTATTGCCCCATAATTCAGGCTGGCTGTTTTGTTTTTTGTCTGTTTGAAGACAGGGTCTCACTATTTAGTTCAGACTGGTCTTGAGCTCACTTTGTAGCCCAGGCAGGTCTCGAACTCACGCTGATCCTCCTGCCTCAGCCTCTCCAGTGCTGGAATTACAGGTGTGAGCCACACACCCAGCTAATTCGTGCTAGCTGTAAACACATTATGTTGCTTAGGTGGGCATCAAACTCTCAGCGCTTCTGTCTCAGCCTCCTAAGTGCTGGGATTACAGGTGAGCACCACCATGCCCAGCACAATTTCCTAATGTTTTGAGGATTTAATGTTTTTGGTGGTTGTGTGTGTGTGTGTGTGTGTGTGTGTGTGTGTGATGCTGGGGATTGAACTCAGATCCTTGTGCATGCAAGACAAAAACTCTACCACTAAGCTACATCCCTCCCATTTCTAATGTTTCAGAAGCTTCTTTATTTTCTGTTCATCTCTTAAACCCTGAGTTGCTTTAGCCGCTGCCAGTTAGGAAGGTGAGTCTAATTTTTGTAATAAAATAAAAAGAATTTGACTTCAATCTTTTTTTTTTTTTGTCTGTTTTTCTTTTCTCTTTTTTTTTTTTTTTTTTTTTTTTTATTGGTACCGGGGATTGAATTCACGACTGTCTGCTTGCAAGGTACTTAAGCCGCTGAGCTAAATCCCCAGCCCTTACTGACTTGGATCTTTATTGAATGCTTAATATGTTAGTTTAATGCCTTAGATGTTAGGTGCTGGGGAGATAGCAGTCAATGAGAAAAGATAAGATTTATAATTTTTCCCAGCCATTCAGACTGAAGAAAAGTTCAGGTTAAATCTGACAAAAACAAAAGAAAAGCAAACAAAAACTTCTGTTGGCTCATATCTATAAAGCCAGCCTATTCTTGCCTCTTTTGCACTTTAGGATGTTGATTAGTGAATTACTATTTTTACTCATTTTAATTCAAATATTAGAGAGTGTGTTAGTAAAGGAAAGCCATGAAATGATTGATTCAGCCACAGGTATCCTAAACTCTGATTATCTTTTTTTTTTCCTCAGAAAGATTCACTTTCTTAGCTCCAGTAAGCAGAAGTCCTGAGAATTACATCATATTTTTGTTTTGTTTTGTTTGCAAGGCAGGGCAATCAAACCTATGGTCCTAAACCAGGTGTAATGCCACATGCCTGTAATCTCAGCACTTAAGAGGCTGAGGCAAGAGAATCACCATGAGTTTTAAGCAGTTCTGGGCTACATAGTGAGATCTTGTCTCAAAAACAAAACAAAAAACCCTAGGGTTTTGTTTGTGCATAACTCTACCACTGAGCTATACTCCCAGGCTTTATATCATGTTTTGAGGTAAGAACTAGTTTTAAAGTAAGATCAAGCCAAGCATGGTGATACACACTTGCAATCCCAGAATTCTGGGAGGCTGAGACAGGAGGATCGAAAGTTTGGGCTCAGCCCGGACAATTTAGCAAGAACAAATAAAAGAGGGCTGGAGATGTAGCTCACTGTGAAGGTTCAGAGTTCAATTACAAATGTTGTAAAAATAAATTAATAAAAAGTCTGATTGTTATTAAAAAATTAATAAAAAGTAGAATCTAAAATTAATTATATCAATTAATATTTTGTACTTTGTTACAATAATGTTGTTTTGTTTTGGTTTTGATTTTGCAACAGGGTCTTCCCAATTTGCTAAATTGCTTAGGTTGGCCTTGAATTTGCAATCCTCTTGTTTCAATTGAGTGCTGGTATCATATGCATGTGTCACTTTACCTGGTATAAATAAACATTTTGTGCATGTATAATTTTCCAACTGGATATATTTATCATTTGTGAAAATATTGGTTCCTTGGGCCAGGGATATAGCTTAGCATCATAGCACCTGCCTGGCCAGTATATGGTCCTGAGTTTGATTCCTGGTATCCAAAAGAAGTATTGGTTCTCTGAGTTATGCATATCTTCCCAAAGCAGATTTATTTATGCATATTAGCAGATTTATTTATGCATATTAATATAAATATGCTAAAATATAAATATAATATAAATATGCTAAAAATCACATTTGTGCTGGGCATAGTGATGCATACCTACAATCTCAGCACTGAAAAGGGTGAGGGAGGAGGATTACTACAAATTCAAACCCAACCTGCAATACGTAGTGATATAATGAGTTCAAAGCCAACTACCAGCCTGAGCTGCATAGTGAGACCTTGTCAGAAAGAAAGAAAGTCAAGTTGCAACTTGTTTGATCATACAAAAGGTTTTCCTGGAGCTAAATGTCATATTTCTTTTGTAGGCACAGAAATGTTATGAGTATTTCCACTTTCATCACACAAAATATTTTTTTTTTTTTTTTTTTTTGTCTTTTTCATTTTTACCGGTACCAGGGATCGAACTCACGACCGCCTGCTTGCAAGGCAGGTGCTTATGCCGCTGAGCTAAATCCCCAGCCCCATCACACAAAATATTAAAAGGACATGTACTCAAGGGCTAAGATATAATAAAAATATTAATTTGTTTTTTATTAAAGACCCTCAAGGGATATGCAATTTTTAAAAAAAATTTACTGTAACTATGCAGTAGTGAAGAAAACAACTGTTAGTAGTTTGATGCCTCTGCTTCAATTCATGTTAACTAAAGCACCAGCAGTTTGTCCACCATTGCTTCCACACTATCGGTGCAAATACTAAAGTGATGGAAGAGGCAACACATGATTTAGTATTATTAGGTGAATAGTTGTGGCCCATATGAAAGGGCCGTGGAAATTCTTAAGGATCCA